TTTTATATTACTGTATTTGTACATACATGCATATTAAAAGTAAAGAACAGCCTATACATGTCCCACTGCTGGGCAAAGGCCTCCTCTATACAGAGGGTATCATGGCATAGTCCGCCACGCGGCCCCACTGCGGATTGGCGGACTTCACATATCTTCGAAATATATATATTTTTTGTTAATATTCCGAAAATATGCATGTTTCCTCACGATGTTTTCCTTCACCGCGGAGCACGTGATAGATAATTCAGCACTTAAAGTTAAAAACTTCATTGGTGCCGGCACCGGGGATCGAACTCAGGTTGCTCGAGTATATTTAATTAAAGGCGAGCGCCCGGACATTGGGCTATCACGGCTCTCACATGCATATTATACTCTTTTATTTATTGTATTTGTGTGTTGATGATTGATTGACAAATTTGAGAATAGATTAATATTGTTCAAAGTTGCTGGAATTTCAACCACTCGGCGCCCACTAGCATAAATAATTATATAAATTGCTTTATGAGCCGAGCATACATGTTACTGTCGTTTAGCTAGAATTAATTCAGCTGTTCAAAAGGTATTATTATTATTTTGTGCGACAAATTACCAAAACTCGTCGCCAAATGGTGTATATATGATTTGAATGAAACGATGCAGCGATCGGTTCGACTGATTTAATTACTATATGGAACGTGTGGTTTCATTGTTGCAGTTGGGTACACGATATATTAAATGTACCCGCAGCTATAATGCATTACAGGTTGGAAAATTAATGGTTAAATTTTTTTTAAATATTTGCATATTTCATAGTACATAAGACAGGTAAATCTCGAGCCTAAAAACGGGCCTTAAAATCCTAAAGTAAAAAGGACGTGGAAGGACAGGACAGGTCAACAGAGGGGTTAACTCAGAATTTATAGCGAACAATAACTTTAATTAAACATACAAAATAAAATTATATATGAAATGCGATTATAAATCTGTTTTCTTTTGTTTCGCCTTTCAAGCATTTCTCAATTACTCTATACGTCAATTATTTTTATCTAACATAAACATAAACAGCTCACAGTTATGACCTTGTTGGATTTCAGCAATGCTTTTAATACAGTTCATTTGGATATTCTGTTGAGTCAGCTGTGTTCACTTAATTTATCACCATCAGTAATTGACTGGTTTCAAAGTTATCTCAATGGACGTCGGCAGCGTATTCGCGTTGATGAAACACTTTCATCTTGGTGTGATACTACCGCTGGCGTACCACAAGGCGGCGTGCTGTCACCTTTACTTTTTTCTATTTTCATTAATTCAATCACTCAAAAAATTTCTTCTCTCTACCATATGGATGCGGATGATATCCAGATTTACACCCAGTCAACACTTGAGAATCTGCCAGTAGCTATCGCCGTTATGAACAATGACTTAAATCACATACATGAGCGGAGTAAATCACATGGCCTCATTATCAATCCCAATAAATCAAAGGCAATAATTGTTAGCAGCCGGTCCTTCAAATCAAGAATTGACTGGTTATTAATACCGCCAATTAAAATCAATGGAGTGATAATCCCATACTGTGATTGTCAAAAACTTAGGCATTTATCTCGACAGTACCTTAAGCTGGACACGCCATTTAAATGAAGTTAGTAGGAGAACTTTTGTAGCTCTCAGATCTATGCGTCGCCTTCGATCAAGTCTCCCCATTCCAACAAAAATTATGCTTGCACAAAGTCTTCTTCTTCCGATTCTCGATTATTCTGACGCTAGCTATGTAGATATAACTGAAGAACAATTAAATAAACTTGAGAGACTCCAAAATACTAGCATTCGGTTCATATTTGGGTTGCGTAAATATGACCATGTTTCTCAATTTCGTAAACGTCTCAAGTGGTTACCCATCCGATTTCGCCGGAATTTACATATTCTTTCTGTTTTGTATGGTGTCTTGTTTCATGGTTGTACTCCACCATATCTAAAGGAGAAATTTGAGTTTGTAGGGCTTCCAGGGGAAGATGTACGTTCTTCGAGGAAGCTCATTTTAAGGTTTAAGCTTTTACCGTGCAGGCTATTAAGCTCTGGAATTCTTGCCTTTAGTTTTACGTTAGGCGCAATCTATTGGCACTTTTAAGAAGTTAGTAAGAGAGCACTACCTGTCACAATCACCTGAGTAATATTGGGATTAAATACTATTCATGTTTGAGGTCTAGTATATATATATGTGTATATATATATGTATAGTATTTGTATATAGTATATATATGTATTTTGTGTATATATGGATATGTATATATAAATGTATGTATCTGCTTTAATAATATATTATGTATATTTCTATTGCACCACCTACGTAGTATACGTTTCCTTTAAGCCATTGGTTGCCTGGAAGAGATCGCTATGAAGCGATAAGGCCGCCAAATTGTACATTGCATAAATTTGTTGTTCTATTGTTATTTTTATGTTATTGTTATTTGTGGTGGACAATAAAAGTGTATTCATTCATTCATTGTTACCATCGTTGATGTCGTGTCATGTAAACGAAATAAAGTAAACTTAATTTAATCTTGCAGCAGATTTTAAAACATCATGAATGTTTTTTTATCAAGATTTAAGCCAATCAAAGGACAAATTATAGGGTGACTCCACTACGTAGCTCAAATTTGATTTTCAGTCAGTGGACTATTACATCTTAATACGATTGTTGTAATTATTTTAAACTTCGTATGCATCTAGAAGATATGGACTGGTTATTAAATTCGTTATTTTACTAGATCTTGGTATTAGTCTTAATAATGTGATGATGATATGATGATAAAAAAATAAAAATCCCATTCTACCCTTTGGGTACGGAACCCTAAAAATGAAATATGTATAAACTTACTTTATAAGTTGAAAGCTAGGCTGACACTGTATCGTACCTTGGAATACAGTGTTAGACTAAATTATATTATGTCTACCGATACGTCTGGAAGCGCTGAAGTAGTTTTGAATAGTATTTGATATGAGTTTGTGAAGAAAGGAAAGTATATGTAAATGTGTACGTCTATAAGTTTGGATGAATTGTGAATTTTGGGTTTATTCAGAAACATTATAATAACTATTTACGCTCAAAGGTCTTTTATTAATATTTTGTCACTTCAGTTCCTAATTTCTTTTATAATTAGGCAGAAATATCACAAAATCTTCAAAGGTAGTTTCTATTGCGCCGGGTTCTGAAGATAATTGTTAGTAAAACGTCTAAATAAGCCAAACTTTGAAGTTAAATATCGTATATCGGATATCGGTTTAATAATTATTATAAGGATTACATTTAAGAAATGATTCGTATGAAATGAAAGCATCGTTATGTAAGTATCATTGGAAAATAAATTACTTCTATACAAATGTATTTTGAAACCAATCTGGACTTACGGAGTACAACTTTGGGGCACAGCTGCCAACTCAAACCTGGAAATACTTCAAAGATTCCAGTCCAAAATGCTGATGATAATAACTAATGCTCCTTGGTTTATAACAAACCAACAACTTCACCACAATCTAGAAATCAGAACAATACAAGAAGAGATTAAATACTCAATAGAATCATACAAGAACAGAATGGACTCTCATCCAAACTCCTTGGCTTCAAACTTAATGAAAAGTACCATTTACCCAACATTTAAGAGACTAAAAAGAAAGTCCCCTAGAGATTTATAGGGAATATGATAAACAATGGGCACACGTCACTGCACGGACTGCCCTGCAAGACAATCTATTCTAAATACTTAACTACTAATGCTAAATGTTCATAGAAACAGATTGCATTAATACAAACAAAAAAAAAATGTAGGTAGCAATAAGGATGGATAGCGTTATTTTGATTATTATTATTATTATTTTTTTTTAAAACGTTGCCCTTACTTTAGTATAACATAATCCTGTGCTGTAAGGACGTTTTACAAACATAAATTCCACGCGGACAAACACCCAGATGCGAAACAACTATCTGTGGGTCGCACAAATAGTTGTCCCGTGTGGGAATCGAACCCACGATCCCCGACGGCGAAGCCAATACCTTGGCAACGGCGCCACGGAGTCATTAAATTATTAGTTTTAGTTTGCCCCAAAATCTCACATTTGTACAATTTTACAAGTTTTAAAATGAAAGAATCACGAGACAACAAAATTGTTTTTATTGAATTAAATTTTTTTTAATTGCAATTGGCGAACCTTGACTAATCTTATCAGAAGAAACGGTTTGCATATATGACTGAGATGATTTATGACTAAGAACAATGATTTAATATCTAGATGGGAAAGTTTGCTGCGTACAATTTAAAAGTATGGTTTACATTATGGTTAAGTCGTATTTGGAAGCGAGAAAAACATCTCAAAATTAATATTGTGATGTTCGATAATAATATATTCATGCTCTTCGCAGCTTACACTTTGTTGTTTTTTATTATTTTTCGTGTGGACAGACTTAAATACGATTGATAAAACGTAGACATATTAACCAATGTTTAATTTCATTACGTTTGTTATGGGCTATATTTTGATTTAACAACAATGTGGCAAAGGTTTCGGCCCTCCCATTCCCTGCGTTCACCGTGCCACGCACAAATACAAATAGATACCAATAAACGGTAATGATCCCGCCAGACTCAAAGGCTCACTCGTTACATTTGATACGAATATCATTATTAACAAACGTTATTCGGATGCATTATTTCGTATATTGTGCTCTCATTACCGCGATGATTGGGCACAATTATGATTTTGAAACAACATTACTTTCATTGGGAGTATTGTCGCCCCTTTTCGATCGTTATCAAAGTGCTCAACACGAATAAATTATAGAGATTCACATCCAATCTCAAGACATTACATCCAATTAAGTTTTAGCTGTGAAGTTCATTACATATACCAACAATGTTTAACATAGGTAGAAAAGCAACGTTCGCGCAGTAACAATTCCAAACAGTGCCCGTATTTGCTGCTGTCGGTGACAATTCACAGTTTCGAGGCAGGACGAAAGTTGGTTAAAGTAGGGCGAACAGAAAGGTGAGCACGCCAGTCACGATGAAAGCCTTTTGGGCCGTTGCGTATACGTCCTTCAGGGCGAGCCACTTCCCGGCATTCCACGCGCAGTACCTTATCCCGTTGGCGTAGTGGAACGCGAAGGGGGCGCCGAGCAGCGCCTTGATCACGAAGATCGATGACCGCGAAAGGTCGAAACTCTGTATCATCGAGACGTAGGACTCCACGCCGTTGGGCAGGAACAGTGCCCCGGCGGATAGCAGGAGAGCGTAGGAGAGCACCACCACACCTGAAACATAGTGCCGAGTGTTAGGCCTAAATGGTAGATGCACAATCGGCTCTTTCAATCGAATGGGAGGTCAATAAAATAGAGCAAAGCAAGAGTATATCAAAGTCAAGTCAAATTCAAAATTTCTTTATTTAAATGTAGGCTTATTTTAAGCTCTTCTTCTTTCTTTCTGGTCGTTTCCATCAGGTCTGATTATTGTGGTTGGTCGTCTTCGTTCAAGCACGAATGAGATCCTCTATCGATTCCGATCCATCGCGGTCCCTCACCACATCGTAGAACTTTCGTGACGGTTCTGTGTCTTTGAGCTTGTCAGTTCATCGTGCTGGAGATCGGCCACGTGATATTTTGCCTTCAGTGTATCCAACAACGATCAACCTTTCCAAGCTCTTATTGAACGCCAAAACTACCACTACATCTTTTCATATACAGCGTGTCGTTACAACCACGACAATAAATGAACACACTAACGGTACTTGCCAATAATCTTAAAAAAATATAAAACGTTAAAAAATCTATAATTAAAAAATATATTTTTCAAACAAAATAGTTAAATAAAAAAGAAACAAAATTTGTAACAACTGACTGATTCATATATTCAGAGACTTTTTCATTCGTTGTCAAAACGTCGCATTACATGTTTCTTCTTCTAACAGTATGTTTTATCTCTTTTAAATTCATTCAACCCATTCATACGCTTTGTGACCTTTACAAAAGAACTTTATGTTACCGCATAATTATGATTGCTCCGCAAATATTGATGTTTAAAGAATGTAAATGCTTGATACAATTTTGAAAGTTATCCTCTATATGTGTGTTCATTTACTGTCGCGGTTGTAATGACACGCTCTATAAAATCAGATATGTGAAAATTTCTCTCGCTTTGTGTGTACACCCCTCCAACGACTTTAGCGGAATGCACAAAATTGACGTTGAATTCCAATCGGCCCTTTTCTGCGCTAGTCTAAATAAATGAATCGGCTGAGCTATACTTCAACGTGTATGCGAGCTCCGAACATGCTCAAATGGAAAGAGGAAATTTCGCCTTTGACTTTGAAAGCGACGATTTCGAGAGCGAAGTGGAGTGCCTAGAATCGGGCGCAGCGTTGTTCGCGTTGGTTTTGTAACAGGTGAAAATGGACGAGTGGCGCGGTCATGTAATAGGTCACGTCACGTTCAGTAAGAGTGTGACTGAAGGCGCATTAACGGCTTTTTGTAAGACGGGCGACACTTGATAGCAAGCGTCGGCAATCCATACCCAGCAGTGAACTGATGCCAAAACGGTGAAACAGATGAACTAATATAGACTCATAATTATTCATGTGTATAAGAGTGCCTGTTTGCGTGAGATTGAAATTAAAAATGCGCTTCATTGCGCACAAATGTTTATCAGCGGCTTCCCTACATCAGTATCGTTAATTATTTCTTGACGAATTACTACATTATTAATTGAAACATCAAAACGACCCATCATGATTTGCTATTTGACAGAGGATTCGCTGCCATTTCTGTTGCCAGTGCATGTACTCGTATTGTGCACACTTAAATTGGAACTAGCGTCGCGTCGTTTCGATTAGCCACCGCCGACGCGTGGAATTGTAGCTTTGACGATAGCTACGCCGAGCGGACCCTCCCGCAGCGCCGGAATCTTTTTTTTTTATGATTCGTCAGCTCCCTTATATCGTGTCCGGTTTTGCTTGCAACCGTAATAAAGAACGACAGGTGAACTGTTGTTAAATAGTTGTTAAATTAATTAAATAGTTAATAGTAATTAAATAGTTAATAGTTGTTAAATAGTATACATCAGAAAAATAACCTTAGCGGACGGTGGATAACTTAATTGGCATCCTTAATTCTTTTATTTTTACGCATTTGTATACAATTTGAGAATTCCGAGGCAAACTGATAAGAACGACATTAAAAAAAAACTTATTAAATAAAAATAATAAAAAAAAAAATTTGAACTTGAATTGCATCCGGCCAAGTGTCGAGGTGCTTAATATCTGTTCGCACAGATCCAACACAACCGGTCTTCGGGGTTGGATATTCGTCTATTTGGTGGAAATTTATCATATCTGCCAACCCATTGCAAAATTTGAAACCCAACCGTTGCCGTTCGGACGCCGCTTTGTGCTGAACCTGCGATCGAAATTCTAATTACATACCATTAGCGGTACTCGTTAGTGATTTCCACCGAATCATAGCGCGCCTAGGGGAACCCGGTATTAACTCTGCCTAAACTAATCCCCGCGCTCAATTATTCGATTTCAAAGCGGGTCGGCCACACAGCTAGCGGTCAGGCACACAAATATTCAAAAATATTTGAAATTGAAGTTCTATTGAAGTGCACAACTCATTACAACTTCAATCGTACGTGGTAACAATTTCATACGTGTCTATTAATGAGGTAACACTCAAAAATACCAAAGTTTTTGTGACCGTGACGGTATGACGACAAACTAGTTAGTAACAGAAAAAAAAGCGTGGAAAGCATCATCATAATTTTCCACCCAGTTGACGTTAGTTAACTTGTTTTGTTAACACTAAACTTTTTATTTAACGCTAACCGCAAACGTACAGTATTGATGGGTTAATATTAAAGTTACCGTGAACTCGCCGATATTGATGTCAATAATAATTATCAAATCAGTCATATTTTTCTTATTCCTTATTAAAAAAAATAGTTGTATTATGTCAATAGAGCTATCGCTGCATCAACCTTTGCGAACTCATTCTAGTTCTGATGACTAATCCAGTTTCGTGATGTTCATCTTTCATAAATCTTATGGTTAACTTATTGCAGCTATTTTGACGGAAAACTTATTCTCAATTTTTTAGTGTTAGTGTGCACTAAAGACGAAATTTTAATTTCGATTGGGAATATAGAAAATGTTTCATCACTGTGGGATTCAAAGATACGTTTTAAAGGAAATAACTAAATATGTACGTGAGGCATGTATGTACAAGCGGTGTGGCATACATACCTTACTTTCGACGTGTCGCGCGGTGACCTTTTACTTTTCCAGTTCGTGTTAATTACGATATTTTGTAATAACTTAAATAGGTAATTATTACCTTATCCGTGTGTGCGATTTATAACTTCAGCGCTTTTTATTGTGCATTCCTTGATATATCAGTATGTTATTATACGAGTACGTACTTCATAACAATTTAACGAACTTATAATAATTGGTAAAATTTACCTATATTATATATATACATATATATATATATATATATATAATATATAATTTTTAATATATTATATATATATATATATATATATATATATATATATATATATATATATATATATATATATATATATATATATATATATATATAATTTATATTAAAAAACTATTTAATAATTTTTTGCTACTCCCAAACTTTTTGTTTTATTTAATTCTGATCTAATTAAAATATTCATATAATACTTTTATAGTGATTGCATATCAAATGAGAAGAAACATATTTATAAACATAACTAATTTTAATGAACAATTTACGCGTTGTACGAATTTAACCTTTATATTTTCAGTTTCATGCCAATACACTGACAGCTTCAATCACGCTTACTACGCTGAATGTACGGCATTTTCCTGTGGGGTAGTGCATCTGACATAAAATTCTATATTTATTCTACAAAAAAGAGCTGTCCGAGCAATCTATAATATCGGAGCCGAGAATTCACTCAGAGATCTTTTTAAAGAAATAAATATACTCACTGTTGCTTCTCAATACATTTATTTTAATATGTTCGTCTTAACCTTATCACCTAAAGAATAGTGACAGACATAAATTAAACACTAGAAATAAGGACGAACTTACTCCGCCATTGTTTCTTCTACAAAAGTAAATACGTCGTTCATGGGGCAAGGTGTGCGCATGTATAATAAAATCCCACAATCCATATTAAGTCTGCCGCTTGTTCAATTTAAATGTAATATTAAAAGTCAACTTATGGTTAAAGCATATTATACTCACTTAGGCCAGAATAAGACTATTATACCCGTATGTTATATTGTAAACTGATATTTCTGAAAGGGTGAGGAGCAACCGTTGGGTTTCTTGTTTTTACGGCCTGCCGCTATCCTTACGTCCTTGGGAAACAAAAAACCAGAACAGGAACAATTATCTGCTGGTCATACAAACACTTGTGCCGTGTGAAACGAATCCACGACCCTTGGCGCTCTGTGTAAACTGTCCGATTGTTTGTTTCTTGTGTACTTTCGTCTACCTCTGGTTTTACGGAAACAGACCTTTGTCCACATAGAAATGATGCATTAACACCCAGTTTCCGAAAGCGCAATCAATTTTAGTTTACGATAAATCTCTTGTCAAACGTTGTTTAACATGATCTGAGTTGATAGAACGTCTGAAAACAACATTGATTTTGATTTGCAATTAGTCACTGATTAACGGACAATCAACAGAAAATCGAGTTTCTGAAAGCGTTTTTCGGTGGTCAACGAGCTGTCAAAAGTTTTATAAGTAATCTGTCAATTTGGACGATTAATCGTTGGTTAAAAATGTATTTTTTCAAAAATCTTAGTTTTATTAGAAATAAACATAATTCCCTAATACGTTATAAGGAATTCATGTTTTCTATTACCTATTTATTATTTATTATTATGCGAACATATCATGCGATTAGAGAAAATAGAAAATGCAATTCAAAAGTTAATAAATAATATGGATTCTTTCTTTTTGTAATACTTACTTGTTTATTATGGATAAAAGTTCATTTTTTTTTCACGTTCTGTAATGTTTTTTCTTGACATTTTGCATGTATTTATATAAATTAAATTTTATTATAGCTCGGATTTTTACGTTGGCAATCACACGGTGACAGGACTGGATAGTGACGTTAATTTAAGTTTTGTTTAAATCATTCATTTCATTCATTATCGTTGGTTATACAGTGATTAGCTAATTTTTCTTGAACAAAACTTCCAGAAACCCAAGGCAGTTTAACAAGAGATTAACAGCTGATCATTTTT